TTATCTCCAGAATGAACTCTGATGCTTAGCAAGACCTGAGGAGCTCCCAAAGGATTTGCCACATTTTATACATTTACCTGGTACAAATTTTCTCTGCAGTGTGAACACTCTGATGCTTAACAAGGGATGAGGACTGGCTAAAGGCTTTGCCATATTCTCTACATTTGTAAGGTTTCTCTCGTGTGAACGCTCTGGTGCTTTGTAAAGTTGGAGAAGCTGGTAAATCTTTTGCCACGTTCTCTACATTTATAAGGCTTCTCTCCAGTGTGAACTCTCTGATGACAAGTAAGTAATGATATAACACGGAAGGCTTTGCCACATTCTCTACATTTATAAGGTTTCTCTCCAGTGTGAACCCTCTGATGATAAGTAAGGGATGAGGAGTGGCTAAAGACTTTGCCACATTCTCTACATTTATAGGGCTTCTCTCCAGTGTGAACTCTCTGATGTGCTGTAAGGTTTGAGGAGTCGCTAAAGGTTTTGCCACATTCTCTACATTTATAAGGTTTCTCTCCAGTGTGAATTCTCTGATGATTACTAAGGTTTGTGTGTCGGCTAAAAGCTTTGTCACATTCTCTACATTTATACGGCTTCTCTTCACTATGAACTCTGTGATGTCGATTAAGGGTTGCAGATTCCCTGAACGCTTTGCCACATTCTGTACATTTATAAGGCTTCTCTCCACTATGAACTCTGTGATGTCGATTAAGGGTTGCAGACTGCCTGAACGCTTGGCCACATTCTGTACACTTATAAGGCTTCCCTCCAGTCTGAATACTCTGATGACGACTACGGGAGGAGGACATGCTAAAGGTTTTGCCACATTCTCTACATTTAGACGGCTTCTCTCCACTATGAACTCTGTGATGTCGATTAGGGGTTGCAGACTGCCTGAACGCTTTGCCACATTCTGTACACTTATAAGGCTTCCCTCCAGTCTGAATACTCTGATGACGACTACGGGAGGAGGACATGCTAAAGGTTTTGCCACATTCTCTACATTTAGACGGCTTCTCTCCACTATGAACTCTGTGATGTCGATTAGGGGTTGCAGACTGCCTGAACGCTTGGCCACATTCTGTACATTTGTAAGGTTTCTCTCCAGTGTGAATTCTCTGATGACGAGTAAGGGTTGAGTGTTGGCTAAAGGCTTTGTCACATTCTCTACATTTATATGGCTTCTCTCCAGTATGAACTCTTCGATGACGATTAAGGGTTGCTGAGGTATTGAATGCTTTGCCACATTCTGTGCATTTATGAGGCTTCTCTTTAGTATGAAAAATCTGATGACGGTTAAGGAAGGAGGACTGGTTAAAAGCTTTGCCACATTCTCTACATTTGTAAGGTTTCTCTCCAGTGTGAATTCTCTGATGAAGAGTAAGGGTTGAGTGTTGGCTAAAGGCTTTGTCACATTCTCTACATTTATATGGCTTCTCTCCAGTATGAACTCTTCGATGACGATTAAGGGCTGCTGAGGTATTGAATGCTTTGCCACATTCTGTGCATTTATGAGGCTTCTCTTTAGTATGAATAATCTGATGACGATTAAGGAAGGAGGACTGGCTAAAGGCTTTGCCACATTCTGTACATTTATAAGGCTTCTTTCCAGTATGAATAATCTGATGACGATTGAGGTGAAAGGACTGGCTAAAAGCTTTGCCACATTCTCTACATTTGTAAGGTTTCTCTCCAGTGTGAATTCTCTGATGAAGAATAAGCACTGATGGCCGGCCAAAGGCTTTGCCACATTCTGAACATTTATAAGACTTTTCTTCTGTATGATATCTATGATGTTGAGTAGATCCTGAGGACTGACTAAAGTCTTTTCCATTTTCCCT